TCGTTTACGGCTGCTCCATCTTTCTGTATGGTGCGATCGAGGCAGCCGTGATTCGTGTTATGCGAAAAAAATACTGGGAATCACCCCTTAAACATAGCAGTCAGGCCTATTTCCACTTGAAGGCCTAGACGGGGCGGGTTCTGTTAATTTTACCTAGGGTTTGTTCGACAGGCTTATGAAATGGCGTGAAAACAAAATAACAACGCGCTGTTTCTGAGATTCGAACCAGCGTTGGTCACAAGCTAATGGTTATCTACTAAAAGCGATACGGATCTGTCATTCATGTCACGGTGTTCGTTGTGTCGGGCTGACGTACCCAAGAGATTGGATCTTAGGTTTTCCTACAACGATTTTTTACGATTCAACGATAATAACGACTACAATGAGACGAGCGAATAGCACATGAGTGAAATCCGGAAGGTCAGATATATGCGCTTTAGGAACAACGCAGGAACAATGGCCGGGAACCAAAGACAGTTTGGGCGTACTGGTTGGATGCTGGAGGTACAGTCGTTAGTAGAAAATGTTGCCTAAACTTGTTTGAGGTGTAGATATAGAGCATCTTCGTGCTTAAGGTCTGTGTTCAGCGAAGTTCCGAGATTTTTACTTGTCAACATAATATAAAGGAATGCGCGTGTGTCCTTTGTCTGTATAAGCGGCAGTGATGAATACATTATAATGAGCGCAAAACGAGTAAGAAGCAACAGTGAACTTATCATAACCACTAATATAACTGCAACAGCGTTCGCTTTACATGTATAGTTGTCGACAGCCGGAACTAGAAGATTGAACCAATCTTGTTCGAAGGAAGTATCGACAACTGTTTACAACAAAGCTTCTGTAGCTCAACGAGAAGATGATAACAAACCTGCTGACTGGGGGAGCTGCACGGAATGAGATACGCGGCAAGGGTGTTAATAGCTTTCATAGAATAGAAACAGTTAACTAGATGATTAGCTGCGATTATATACAAAATTACGTCCATGTACGCATTTGTCGGTCGTTCAGGTACGATGCACCGTTAAACTCTACTTGATATAACGCTCATGGCGATGAAACAATTATCAACGATGGGAGTGGAGCAACGACGACAAATGGAAGACCAAATTTACATTAACGACAACAGCAAGTATCATCCTCTGACGAGACAAAAAATACGAAGCAAAGACCCTTCTAAGCCTATAATTGTTTCATACTGACGTTGCGTTGTGAAACGAGGCTTCCTAATAGGCGGATCGACTAACGACCGTCGGCGGAAGCTTCCACCCCGTAGCTTATTAGTCAACTATACAGGGTTCATATATAACCCTCATAAACCTCATAATACCCAACAGGGCATGGAGATAGTAGCTAACGCCTGTCTCTTTAAATTAACAAAAGGGATCGTCATCTTCCAAAGTGGTTAGGAGAGAAGAACCACCCGTTCCAAAAACTGCGGTAAGATCGATGCTCGCCACGACCTGGTCTTCGTTACCTCGACCTAAACGTTATTTCGTCTAACTTGCTCGTTCACAAGCACAAGGCCCGTCGACCGAGAGGACGTCTGAACTATGAGTGACTTCGGGACGTACGACCTGGATACGGAGGTCTCTACTCTATTTAGTTCTCGTTCAATTCTATGCGTATTTCGACGCGCGCGCATACTCTACACTGTGGCTGGCTAACTTACCTGTCGCACACTAACCCACAATAGCACAACTTCCAGCCTTTAGAAAGGAGTAGGCAGCATACTCTACGGGAACATTTAAGCTTTACCAGAGCGGACTAAGCGAGTTCGCATTGAGACGAAATCTCATTGCGCGCATATTGTGCATCGCAATCAGCGCATTACGCTCGGCAAGCGAACTAGAGAAACTACAAGCAGCGGACGCCTTGGCTGGGTCCCGCTTGTCACCTTCCAACTATTGGAACTAGGCGCTATGAGTTTGCTAGAACAGGGAATGGGGGGCGGGGGGGTACTTGAAGTTCTTTGGTTGCTTCCCCCTTCAATACTAGGAAAAGCAATCATACTCTCGTAGTCTCACTACAAAAGAAACGTGCCTGCCACGCTACAAGATTATACGTTGCCGGTATTTGTTTGAGTATTCAAATGGTCTAGAACGTTTAATTCGTAATGAAGGAGAGAAGATTTTGGAGTGATGGCGTCGACAGGATATGAAGAGATTTTTCTGAAGTAAGCCAAAACTAAGAGAGTTCTGGCAATAGGCTGACCGAGGGAACGAAGTTTTTTGCAATTCTAAAACTATGAACAACGAACAAGTAGAGGATACAGTGCAATGGCGTTGTGAGTATTCCTGTTTATTTCCAATCGGTCAGAAGATATTGAATAGCCGGGAAATTTAAAAAGCTCTAAAAAATTACGCTCGTAGCTGATGCTGTAACACAGTAGCATATTTATATAGAAACGATACAAAAGTTTTAACATCTTATCACATGTTGCTCGTTTTGAAAAGGAGCCTGCTAGTATAATGATCAGCGGTCCAGCGCACTGTTGCCTGGTACGCAAGCCGTTTAACGCATTGTTTAAATGCGCGCAGTTTTCATAGACAACAATGCTAAACGCAGAGTAAGATACGGACATTAAAACACGTGCTGATTACATCTTCCTGAAGAAACGATTTCCAACAAATCACTTCATGTTCTTTTAATAGCGCGAATGTTGCGTTACGCTTTCAGTGCACTGTTCCAACATACGCATTGAGATTGATTGTTCATCGAACAATGGGGTCCGTTTTCAATTTATACATGGTTATTTGGCGTTGGCCAGAGACGGACTCGGTCTACGCACGCCCTTTGGATGTCCGTTTTCGGTCGAGGCGGACACATTAACTCTGTTTCTGAGACATTGTGAAATAAGTTGGTCTGGCCGACTCGAAATGGGCCGGTCAGGCGTCGATCAGACACTTAGCACAGTCCTGAAAAAAGCAATCTAGCATTGTTACGTGCATTATCGATACCATAGACCTATCAAGAGTTTTCTTAATTCGCGTTCAATCTAAGCGCTTAGTCTTTGACCAGGTCTAGCAGTATTCGATTCAACTGTTGTATGCGTAGCTATTTAAATTGAAAGCCTAACACAGGCCAATATAACGATTCCTGGAAAACAATACGGTCCGTTTTATTACCATTTTCCCTACGAATATATGAGGTAAATTTGCAACGGCGGTAATTGCTTGAGAGCAATTGATGACAACATCATGCTGTTCGAGGAAGGCCCGACATTTCGCAGATTACAAGATATAGGAAAAAAACTTAAAAAAAAAACGTTAGACAGACAGACAGACTGACTGACTGACTGACTGACCGACTGGAAAACAGTCCTTTAGATGGCGTCTTAAATTGAGCCGGACGCTGTGATCAATACAATTGTTTGCTATCCATCCGTAAGCAAAGTTAATTTTATACAACAGAAAATAAGGGTGGGGATTGTCAAGGGATTTGTATATCTCACATACATGCCAAATGATTATAGTCGGCATACCGAAAATATATTTGAACGTCAAAAAATCTCTCAGCCAAGTAGATTGAGATGCTTAGGCGAAAAAGTCCAGTTCGCATATATAAATCTTCGCTAGAATTTTCCATACGTGCATCTATGTCTGTTATATTTCTTTAGCTATTAGACCCGGGCGAACTTTCAAATTAGCCCAATTTTAGAATACACTTGGTCTGTTAAGAACGAGCAAAGAACATTTGATGCTGTAGTACGAAAATCTACGGAAAATTTCCTAGGCACCAAGAGGCAGGGTCTCGTCTACGAGGAGTAATTTGTCTACCGGTTTTATAAGCTGCCAGTTTCTGAGGCGTCGAAGTCTTTATCTTCTAGTCCTTCAGCAGCTCCCAAAGTGTTCTATTTGGATCGGAAATATGCAGTGGAAGCTGTCGTGCATCAGAAAATCCGGAAGAAGCTATTGCAGTCTAGTGGCGGTTTATCTACTGTATATACACTCCGCGTTCGAATTAACGATAGCTTATCGTCGCGTTTTCAATATTATATTATATTAAAGCCGTTATTTATGTTTTGCACATAGAGCCGCCTAGCTACTAGTTACACGTAAGCAGGTCCGGATATCGACATCATAATTTACGCCGATGATATAGAAAGACCTTAGCCACGTTATGATAACATCGTGCACCATTTCTCAGGGACCAGTTGGCTTAGTTAGCAAATGATAACGTTACGTATTGTACACGAAAGCATTTTTTCCCCTGTCACTTTTCTACGAGAGCACAAGATCCCTTCGCTTGTGCATAGTTCAATGGGTACATGGTATAGTTAAGTAGAGGCAAGCTATTTGCTGCTTCCCTAATCAAATACATAGGATAAAACATTGTTTTACACAGTTCGTTGAACATTGCCCGAACTGTAATACGACGTTGGCTGATCTGTAGCCTAACAGGATTTCCGCTTCCCGATATCCGACACACCGGAACCGACTAATAAAATGACTTATAAGGCGACAGGTTACAAAGGCAGCGACTCGGAAGCACGAGCGCGCTAGCCATTGCCATTTAAGGAATAGAAGTACATAACGAAAGGTAGCGCGTTCATTCTAGCCGTTCCCCATGCATGGTGCCAGTATTACCGAAAATGTCACTACAATTCTAACCTTGAAAAAAAACAACTGATCAAAACAATCGAGGGCGCCAACGGGAGCTGCTTGTCAGCTCGAAGCATTGATCATACAAACAAAGTAAATTTACACCTGCAGCTTTTCTATATTTCATGGCTCGATAAATGTGCCAATATGGAACCGTATCGATTCGTAACTTTAACACCGCCATCGTATGGTTCGCCTCGACCCACTTCGTTAATAAGTTATCGTTAATTTGAATACCTAGAAAATAACGTTGCGCAATAATTATAACGAGTGTGCGAGGACGTCAATATAATCACTTCTCGGGAAGGTCGGGATCTGATTGGCTGGGGTGCTAACGTTACCAACAGAGTTGATCTTCTATTAATGTAGGTAAGTTACCTATTTGTTTTTTTGTTTCAGGTACTAGGCGCTGGGTGGCAGCGACACGCGATCGTTCTTCACGCTATTTGGAAACAGGTTCGTAAAAAAAGAATCAAGTATAGATACGTATCATTTCGAAGTGTTGTATTATGCTAAGAACCATATCTGCTGCTTTTTTGCAATTATGGCCTTATATATGAGATGATTTTGTGCTAGGTCAATATATATATATATATATATATATATATATGGCCTTACAACGATAGCATGGTGATGTGGATTTCGACACCGGGAATCTTCGCGAGCTCTTCATATATGAAATCGAATGTACAGGTCTAATCCGCTAGCTGTTTACTTAAAACTTCCAGGGCCGCGCCTTTGTTGTCCCAGAAATACTAAAGAAAAATATTATCTATAGATTAGTATTAGCGTTTTCACAGTTGCCTAATTAAAATGTGCCTGCTTACTAAACCTCGGTTCAATCGTATTCTGATAGATCAGGATAAGACCTGCTCTGTCGGATAGGTTGATTTTTTCTACGTGATCTGAACTGAATATTCTGGAAAAAAAAATAAAAATTTAACAATATATATATATATGAAATGATTGCTTTGTAAGGCAGTTCGACACGCTTCGGCTAATTATAACAAGGCAAATTTATAGGCGTAGACCGATTTTGTGTGGTTGATTTCGACTATAGGTCAATACCTAAACTAATTGGTTTTAAGGAAGGCCATTGGCTCGAGTATTGTATTTACGTGTTCTTCAAGAGGGAATTTAGACGTCCACTACGGACAATTTGAACGAGGTCGCTTCTATTCTCCTCGAATGGAGCATTAGGAATCAATCGACGCATGCTTCATTTTACTACAGGTTATAGAAGTGAAATCAGTAATCGCAGCTTAAACATGAGTTATCAATATTTAAGTACTATCTTGTCCCTGGCAAGATGAACTTGGATTACTTAAAAAATCGATATTAGCTTATTCAGTAGGATAGGACTTACCTTTGCTTAATTGGCCGAACAAGGTCTGCTGCGCAGGTCCCTAGTTAGGGGCATACGAAGTTCGTGTTTGAATCTTCAGATACATTTGCTTTGCAGGTCCAAAGTTTAATGTGATGTTTGAAGCTACAACGCACAACATTTCTTTTCTCACTCATGAACCACAAGGCAGTTATATTAGACAGAAACGCTTAGCGATAATTGACTGCTCACAACTGACGAAAAAGGGAAAACGAACAAATTTGAGGAATATATCAATATAAGCGAAGCTTGCATGGCTAGGTACTTCATGCACAGTTTACAACTTCCCTAATAGTACTGAAGTTCAGAGAGTCGAATGTTGTGAGGCGCTCTGGACCGAAGGAAACAGGAATATACTTCGCTATCAATGTATCGCTGTATAACACGGGTGAAGTTGCATAACACAGACGAAGCAGGCAATTGCTTAATCGTCTCAGAACATTTTGAAAGTAAGCAATGAGTAGATGACCGTTAATGTACAACGCAAAATATTGTTGGTCCTAGGTCCAAGACCTGGGCTTTACTTTCTGTTGAGTGGTATGAATTCGTGCTGTTTTTGCATCAGCGTTCATGGACGCATAGTCCTGCGTGCGTGTCCTCCTCTGTATGCATTTATTGACGCAATTGTGTTCTTCGGCCGGTTGGGAGTCTTTACCTTATCCTACGTTGCTTTGTGCGTTCAGCTGTTTGTTATTTGGAGAGGGTCGCTTTGTGGAATTCAAAGCGTCGCAAGCTACAATCAGCTTATTAAACGAAATGCTTAAGCAAGTGCACAGCGCCGCCTATACCTGTTCTTTCACAGAAAGTACATTCATGCAGACAAGCACACCCCTCACGCCAATGACACATTTTTACGGGAAGGCAAAAAGGTGTACAGAGGGAGGGCTGCAGCCATTCTCTGCATAAGAAATTCTTCTCGACAACAAGCAGAAACAGGAGTCAACGGATCGAGCTGGTTTACTATAACACAATCACTAAATATAATTGATAATGTTTCTTTTACTACGGGTACGATCGGCCTCGCGACCGTCCTGTGTGTCGGAACCTGTCAGAGAAGGTTGCGCCGTCCTTCCTTCATTTCCACTATACGGTAAAGGAACGGGAGTTACTTTATGTGTGTAATAATTACTTTGATCCCATGGTGAAGATTCGGTTGACAGAAAGACAAATACACGACTTGACACTACATCGTGGCGGACCACGCATCGCCCACCTCTGCTTGTTTCACTGGCCGCTTCTTGTAAGACACCAGCACCTTCCCATTTCCATTATCTCTCACGCTCCAAAGCTGTGTTGGCTTTCGCTGGATGAGGCGAGACGAAGCGGCAAACCAGCAAATCGCGCGCAAACCGTGCCATAATGGGTCGGTGCTCTCTTAAATACGAGATGCCGGTTGCCAGAGTCCGGTGTTGGCGGGCAGCACCGCATCCGCCGTTGTCGGCTGCACCTTGTTGTGTGCGCGAGTATGTCCTGCAAGCATGGCCTGCCATAGTTCTTCATTGCGGTGATGGTGGTTGTGCTGCTGCTGTTGTTCCCGTGGTCGCTGCTACTTCTAGCTACTAAATAATTCATCTATCCCGGGCGCCCGTGCGAACGCGAACCCGACTCCACGGGGACGGTTTGTGACTGCACGCGCGATTCGAAGCTGCTGCGGCAACTGCTGACGGCGGTTCATAGCCGGCGTTCTCGTGCCGAACGAACAGATACTAACAGCAGAGAGTGGCGGCAGCAGCGCCAAAGGCAGCAACGGCCTTAGTCTAGCATCGCGCAGAGCGTCTTCTTCTATGTTCTTTACTTCATCCGCTCGCCCCATGTTGTCCTCGTTTTGCAGCGAGTACTGCCCCCATGGGCCAAGACCCGGCCGTCAGGCGGATGCATATTGAGAGCGGCGCATTCATTTCTCCCCCTCTAACCCCTGCTATATTCCCTGCTATATCGTCGTTACGCATTGCGTCCGGGATAGCGTTCACCCTGGCATCCAACCTTCATTCCCTTACTTGCCTCCAAACCGGTCTTTTTCCTTTACCTGGCCGGGCTAACTTAAGTCGCTCCAGTCAGCCCTGCGGCGACCGTCGCATCGTCATCATCACTAGCATCAGCATCTGAAGCCGTAGCATCAGCAGCGGGTAGCGATGCCTCTGCCGCCAGTGCGGCTTTTATATTTAATATTCCGACTGTAGCGGGAGTCGTCGTCCTCCCGAGTCGCCCGCTGCCTCACCCACCGTGCTCCCTGCTCCCCTTTTCCTCACCGGCTTTTTCCTTTCAATCGCTCCTCTCATAGAAGCGCCTCGCGCTCAAACGCTTTCTCTCTCCTTACCTGTCCTTCGCTGCTATTTCCCTGAGTCAAAGCGCTTCTTGTTCTCAGTGCTGCTGCCGTAGTTATACCCAGTTTGCTATTTCGACATTCGCCCCCCCCCCCCCCCCAGGACCTCCTACCCCTCTACGAAGAGTTTCATACTGGCATTTCGCCCCCATCCCGTCTCGTTTCCCGTCCATCTCAACAAATTTACCCCCTGCGTTGGTGCTGCTGCTGCCGCTAGTGTCGTCTGTGGGCGCACTCGTGCCAAAGAGACAATTGCTGCTATTTCTACCGGTGTTTCCAGCAAGTGGGCTTGCCGCTGCCCACCCTCTTTCACAACAATATGATTAATGCGGATTCAAGAGGCAAGAAAAAGAATACTCCCAAGTCAGAACGCCAAAGTTCCGGTAGCTCATGGCGGGAAGCAAGGAAGCAGGTAAGCGACTAAATTATAATACAGCAAACAGCTAGCAAAAATTAGAAAAAGATGGGGTAAAGAAGATTAAATGTATGACGGTGTTAGTGTCTTAGCATGAACGCGCCTATGTCATAATGATATGAAGCTGAATTACGCGTTTGTCATTACTTAGTAAACTAAATAGGAAGGGGTAGATCCAAAATCGAAAACGAAAGAGTGTGATCCATTTAAGCATAATAAATAAGTAAATGAATGAACAAATCAAGAATAAACGGTAGAAGCGTTTCTATCATCATATGTGACAATCTGACATATATACATATGTCGCCATCATCGACTGAGTGACGACCAGCTTTTCAAGAACTCCAATCGCAAGACCATTTTATAATAATCTAGAAAAGTTCACACATGTGAAGCAAATGGCTGCTGAAGAAATATCGGCTTCGTGGAACGAGGCAGCTTCACTTGTCCGGTTGGTCGAGCTGACTCTTTCGTGAAAGGGGCGAACGGCAAACGAGCAGCGACGCCGACAATAAGCGACTATCCACTATCGTTTTCTATGAACCATGACGTGACCGTTCCACGCAAAACAAACTTGCTTAACACAGAAAACGTGATCATTGGCCTTATCGCAGAATACGTAATCGTTCCGTCCAGTGATTGAGTGGTGTGTTGTGCGTCATTTACGGAGAGCTGTTATGCCAAAATCAGCAAAATTAAAATGCCCTTAAGTGAAAACGACGACGACGACAACAACAACATCCAGGAAATGTTCTCTTCGAACCGATCAGGTGGAAAGCCCCAGGGCAGCCGTTATTGTGGCACACCAAAGCCGATTTCTGCTTCCTATAATTATTTTTACGACGAACGCGATGATACTACGTCATTGAGAACATTCAGGTAAAATGAATGGACGCAAAGGAGAGAATGCCCTCGCACGAACATGACAATTATACGAAAATAAATGAAAAAAGGAACGTTATAATTTAGTTTAATACATATTCGATGGCCCAGTGTTGTTTGGCACTGTCGCTAGCGGTCATCAAAATCTAAAACTAACAGCTAAGCAATGTTGCAATTAGTAGAAACCGAAATTCTGCCAACCGCCAGTCAAAGAAATTCAGTTGTTTTTTTTGGGTATAAGGAAAGCTTTTTGACTGAACGACTATCTCTCGATCGCTGCTTCAAACCAATACTTCAACCGAGGTCCGAAGTTCAACATCATCACCACTGAGAATTGAATTAAACGTGACCCTAATTATTCTACGGTAACCGTCACCGTTAGACAGGGCCGAAACCATTCACTCGGTGCTCCTTTTCTATCGTACCCAACGATTTTCCGGTAATTGCTTCTG